TATTATAATTCAAGTATTTAAAAACACAAAGTAAGAATTCTATAATTCATGAAACTCATTTTACAAATATAAATTTTATGAATCGTACAAATAAAATAACACCGATAAAATTATCATAATTATTCAATTTCCATATTGAAATATAATAAAATTTGAAATTGCCCTATAGATTTATGTTAGAAATATATTCTTGTTTAAAATTCAGTTTTATCGTCAGGAATAAGAATGCCTTTAATATACGTAATATACATTTTAATGAAATTCCAGTATTCAAATTTTGCTTACCGATATGAGACACAGATGCAATAAATGTCAGATATAAACTTAATATAACAGGATAAGGAGCCAACTGTCTGGAGAAAGTAAAATTAATGAAGTGAGGAATATATGAATATGTCCTTGCAGCATGGAATACTTCCTGCATGTAAAATGAGATACGGTCGCTCGCCCAATAATCTCGCTAAGACACGATTTAAATCCTTGTTAAAGAAAGATTAAATGCACGATACTGACACTGGCATGTATTTCCCGTACATCGTGCGTTGTGATGTACGCCTCGTACCATGTTTCGATGAAAGTTTCGCAAGTAAGCGCGAAACGCGACAATGTTATGTCACCAAAACAGGACTGGTGTTGTCCTTCATTACGAAGTAATGAACTTTCCATTGTTTATTTCCTTCCTTCATGCGGGCACCTCGTCAACATCGTCAACGTTGATTAAGTTACACCTGCTGTGTCTAACTTCATTTGCCAGTCTCGAGTGAGATGTCTCGCCGGGGGAGACGTCGTCATTTTATCTAAGGCGACGGGCGATTCCCCGTTAGAATAATCCGGAGGAGCAACTAGCAAGTAATTGAGCTAGCATAGCGTTGCCTTTTTTCGCGTACACGAGACTCATCGTTTCAGTATACATTGATTATTACGTGTTAATATTTAAGCTAAAAATTTCATCTCTCTCTTCAAATAGGTATAAACTTTTAAAAATGAATCAGATACTTCTCTTACAGTCTGTATAGAAAATACGATTAAGAAAATTGGAGCGTTATTCTTTCGACATCTCTGTCGTTTCTGTAATTGACGGGAAATAACAGCGTTGGAAATGAGCACAAAAAGGAAGTCGCAGATGCGAATGGATCCTTCTTCATCTCTTCCCGGAAGTAGGTCAGTCCGAGGTCTTCGTTCTGTCTCTTTGTCAAAGCGTGCCCCGGTTAAGATTCGCTACTTGTAGGTACGTTTAAGATATCCCAAAGGGAAGATGTCCCTCCTGTTACGGACGGACATATCATCTAGCACTTCGTGACGGCTTCCCGCCTCATCGGGGCATGAGGTTTTGCGGAAATTCGGTTGTTGTTGCAACGGAAGAACGGTGATTCGCTGCATCGAGAGATTACATTAATAAATGTTTCGTTCTGTTAATACTCTGTTAATTTTTTGATGAGGTAACTCATGGTTACTTTTGGCAACTCATTAAATAAAACTGACTATAAATTTCGTTTCACAGATGTTCTTTCTTGTTCAATACCACATAATCAGATGAGATTTATCTATTATTCAGGTTTTATTATTTAGGAATCAGGATCATAACTCAAATACTTATTTTTTTTACTTAAAAATCATACTAGCTGTTAACGTACGCTAATTTTTATGTGCTTTTATCTCGTATCGAACGTACAAATGTACGATATTATCGGTTTTCTGTTCTTGCGGCACGCGGCGGTACAATCTGGAAACCATTTATTGATGTGAGAACGTCTCGTCATCGAGCAGGATGAACGGCTTTGGAATTCGATGAACGGCGAGCAGCTTTTGTTGATCTAAAGTCAGGTTTCGTGGAATCACGGGTCTGGAGGACGCTTGTACAAAGGATGTCATGCAGGAAGGATAGCAGCCTTTGATTACGGTGGCTTCTACCGATTCCACGAGCGAATTGAGGTCACCGTACGGCTAGATCTCGATATGTCCCTGCCCTTTGATGGAAGGGTTCTCGGATTCGGGACAAACGACAGATTCTTTTCATCAGCCGCTTTGAAAATTGCTGAAAAATTTTTTATACATGTTGAGAACGATTATTTCCACGTTGATGCGCCCGCTCGAAAATATTTATCGAAGCGGACAAATCGAATTTTCCTCCTAAACTCACCCCTTGGCGAGACTTATAGTTCTGCGCATTCGTGAAATGCATTCGATTATTCATCGTGCAAACGGGCGAGATAATTAATATGCGTAACCTCGTAAAAAAAAGATGGGAGATATTCGTATGAATTAAATTCGGAGCAATGAGAATCGAACTACGATAGCGCACAAAGCTTTGACAGAAAAAAGGACTATTTGAAAACTAAATGAAATCGGAAAAATGTCCCGGAACGTTTCACGAGGGTCTTGGCCTGTCACAGTATTTTATGCGAGCATATGAGTTTTAATTACGCAGATAGCTTTTATTGCTACAACAACGATATCGAACAACGATGCCAATCTTACTTTGTGTATAGCATATCAATAATCCTATAACATATTGAACGCGCATGTTGAAGAAAAGCACGAATAATAAACATGTTATTTAAAAAATAAAAATTACATTTAATAACTACAAATAATTAAAAGCAAAATTTTATTAAATTTAGAAATAAATAATTACGTAAATATATATGTATATATACAATAAAATCCTGTCTAAATATATACATATATAGAATTTTTATTTTATATATTATATTTTAATATTTATTACAAATTGAGCTAAAAATGTTAATTAAATTTAAGGACAATGACTTCTAATTATTTTTATGATAAAATAACTTCTGGAAGATATTACGAATTTCTAGATTTATTTTTTGATGAGATAACTCAAGATTACCTACTTTTGGCAACTCGTCAAATAAAACTGTAACTATAAATTTGTTTCACAGATCAACGTTCTTTCTTGTTCAATGCCACATAATCATGAGAGTTTTCCTGTTTGAACTAATAAATCAACTCTAATATTCGCGCAACATGTTGGCGGATATGTCCTGAGAAAATACGATGTATGAATACACACAATGCAAACTTGCGCGAAAGAACGCGAGCATACTTTGCGTTAACTTTACTGCGCTTTTGTTGCAGTAGAAACGTGGGAGTTTGTCGTATATAAAGTTCAAAGGATAATGAGTTAAGATGTTTATTATTCTTGTAGATCCTTATTCTTGCCTGGGACCGACTGTAGTAATGGACTTTGCATAAATCATAAGCCTGCACGAGATAAGAAATTTATTCATGTAATTATCGATATATGTATGATGTATATTGCGTTACTGATTTTCACGAATTTTACATTTTTTATAAATCCAACTGTGTTAATCAAATACTTATTATTACAAAGCAAAGTAAATCTGTCAAACTTCTCGCTGCAATGAAAAACATTTAAAAACAGCTTTCTATAAAATATTTTTAATCTTGTAAAAGTTTTATAATTTAACATTTAATTTAAAATAACAAAAGTTTTAACATTTAACAAACACAGAAGGAATACGTATATAACATTTATGTACAAAAAAGAGATAATATCGCCTATATTGGCCACTAAAACAAATTAATAAAATAAAGATTCATCAGATTTATTACATTTATATATTTTACTACTTTTTATACGTTTTTATCTGTTAAATGTAAAGATATTCAATATACGCGAAAGCGAAATTATTGTTTGCATCAGCAAACTATATATACCTAGTGACATACAGAGATTGTTGCAATAAAAAATCGCGTTGTTGTAATAAAAAAATCAAGTTGTTGCGTAGATTGCAATGCCGTGGAGTGTCTCAGATTTACCGCGTATGAAAATGTTACGCAAGAGGGAACCCAGGTTGACAGAACTATTCGTTGAGAAGATACGCTAGAGAAAAGAAGGGAAGGCACAGGCTTTAAAAAGAGATTAACAGCTTGCACTAAATGGCCGGCTGCGCTTATACATATGCAACGAAGCAGCTCAAGAGAAAGGTCGCGATGCATCGCAGCGGCCTTATTAAAAGTGCATTCGCCGCAATATGCATGCGAAATTCCACGGTGGAAATGCCACCATTGTTTGTACTTCTCTCCCGTGTTCCGAACTGCAGTTCGTCGTCATAATTTACAGATATGATGGAAATCTCTGAAAAGAAAGAGAGGGAGAGAGAGAGAGAGAGAGAGAACGTGTATGTGTAAGTGTGGGAGTGTGTGTGTATGTGTCGAAAAGTCTCGTGCGAGTTGCTCTAAAACGTTCTCCGATAGTAGCGGAGGATGAGGATGTAGTTAACTGGAAAGCTTAGCGCACAGCGCCAGCGTAACCGGATTAAAGCGTTGAATGGCTAGCTCACGCAACAGAGGCAGTGTCTTACTGAAAATCCGATTGAGACATTTGAAATTGCGCGAAGAGAATCTCGGAATATTCATGAGGATCCGACGAGCAATCAAACGAAATTATTTGCTTGAGCGTGCATAAAGGACGCTGCCGCGTGCGTTACCGACGAAGAATAAGTTCCCTTCGAAACGCCATTTCGATAGCTCATTCCGTAAGTTCTGCAGCTAATTTGACAATCACGTTTGCTTTCCTAATGATGCAAACGGTAATATTATAAATCTATATATAACGATCTAATAAATTAATAACCTTGATTTAATTGAATAATTTGAATACATTAGATATTGTTAAGCTTTATATCATTTATATTATTGTTAAATCAAATATGCTACGTTTCGAAATAATAGTATCAAAGTATATAATGTATATATTAATTATATAAGTATAATGTATATATAATGTTAATTTTATAATACAAGTTTATTAATCACGCCACGCTCGTTAATATAGTGTTCCATTATTGTTTTGTTTATATGATTTCCCTTTCGACAGATATGGCAATTATATTGTTGCAAATATCGTTCTTATTCCACTTTGAAATTCATGGCAGTCGTGTATTGGATATTGGAAGTGCGACAGCTTCTTGGCGCTGTTACGATGCACGCTCGTTACTCAGGGTACTTACCCGGAAGTGGCCTGTATGTCGACCTCCGGCCAGGATGGTCTACGACGGCAGAACATAAGAGGCGGTCGATCGCTGGATCCGCCGCTCCGTCGAAAGGAGCCGACGCGCCGCGGCGACGTCGCACCGCTTCCTGTCGCAGGATGTACCGTCAATCCCGAGGCTGGAGTGCACTCGAGAGTGCGTCTACGCGCTGAAAGAGAACGCGTGTGCGACGTGACGGTTCCTGGCGGTGGCACAACCTGAAAGAAATGTAAAATGACTCAGATTTAGAGACGCTGTACGAAATCCAATTGGAATAGCCAGTTAAAGAAAATAGTGAATACGATGCGTTTAACAATTGTTAAATTTAATATCACGTTTAATTTACTAAATAATCGATGCTTCGGGCGAAATAATAATGATAATAATAATAATAATAATAATAATAATCTAAATATGTGGTTTAGTTTAATTTAAATCATTATTATTTATTACCAAATTTAATGTGCAATTTTTACATAAACGGATATTTCTTTATTTAAATTACCTTTTTGAACATATTTGGTACACGTAAATCAAGATAAATTAATATTAATATTAAATTAATTTAACATGATTCAATTTATCACTCAATTATAAATATTATACGTATATAACATCTATTTAAAAAGTAATTTAAATAAAGAAATATCGATTATGCAAAAATTGCATATTAAATTTGATAATACTTATTTTAGCACGTTTTTTTTATAGAACGTGTTCATCAATTCTAATTTAATAGACATTTTAATTAACACAATGATGTGAATAAAGGTATTGTTTCATTAAAAACGTATACTCATATCGACCTTCCTTTTTTACGCGTTGATATAAGATTTAATAAAATCACATTTGCTCGTTTATTTAAACGAATGATGTATGCTCCAAATATCAAATAAATTGCAGCTATATATTATTATGCGTTCGATACAATAATTCATCGCTGAAAGCATGCCTCCGTTCGTTTGCATAATAATATCTGTCATGCTTATTAGAGAAACATGTCCCTGTTGATGCATCGTACATTAATGAATTTCGATTGAAGTCGGAAATCGTAATTTAGCATTGTTAAAATTTTCCTGATAAACATACCTGATGCACAACATACTTAATGTTGCTCCAAATGTAATTTATATTTCCAATATTGATAATATCGAAAAATAATGTCGCACGAGAGAATTAAATTTTTTATATGTCTGCATAAATTAACACCGATGTAACAAGCGGTTAATTACTGCCCCTCGTGCATATCGGTAATCAATAAGTCGATTTTTCCGCTAAATGGACAACAACGATCGCGCTTCGGTTCGTCCTTGGATCGTAATACATCCTCTTTAATGCCATCTTTCTTGATTTCTTTAATTAAGAGAAACTGCATTCGTCCTTTGGTCAATCTTGTACTCCTCCTCATAAAGAGTTAATCTTGGTTTCACACAATTAGACTTTCTGTTAGAATTCGCATTGAAATTTATCGTATTATTTGCCCGAGAAAATTTACGTGGCTTTTAATTACTTGATTGAATATAAATGTTAAGAAAAATATATGTCTCTTAAGATAATAAAAACTATCTGCTAGATTATAAAAAATACGAAGTAATAAAAGATACGTTTGAAAAATTAAAGTTATTACATTGTATTAAAATCCTATCAAATTTTTGTCGTGCAATGACATTTAATTATTGGAATGCTGTGTCAGAAAATATTCGTTTAATAAAATTATTCAGTATGGCTGAAATAATTCAAAAAATACTTTTTTTGCCAAAAAATGATATTTATTTGTTGTAATACTTTGTATAATTTAATTAATTTATATTTATATTTCTTCAATTCAAAATAATGTAAATTCGCAACATTGTACATTAAAATTTTATGTGCAATTTCCCAACAGCGTATTTATTTAATTAATAAGCAGATTTAATAATCAACATACAATAAGTTTGTTAAGAAATTAAGTACGACAGAATGGATACTCATGCAATAAATGCAATGAATTATTAATATCTGCAATAAATTATTGATTTATTATCAGGAAATGATCACTAAATCTGTTTTGGTTGTAGCGATAAAAAACTAGTATAATAATATACTCTCAGCTTTAATCATTATAGTACGAATTAAAATGGTTAGAGATGTAAATAGTTGTTGTTTATTGTTATAGTAATATCCTATTTTTATTTTATATTACGATATTGAAATCTTATAAGATAAAAATATATGGCAAGAAAAAAGTATTGTATATAATTAAAATAAAATAAATTTACTCTAATACAAGATTTTTCACTTATTCTGCGACTTATTCTAATCACGTACCTTGGGAAAGCCATGTGGCGTAGCTTGCTGAGCAGCGGACGTGCTAGTGTTGGTCGTCGAGGTAACGCTTCCGGTAGAGCTGCTTCTTCCGGTCCCGCTGCCATCGCCCTTCGAGTCCTCGCGACTGAAGGAGAACCTTTTTGGACTCAGGCTAAAACTAGCCACGCTGTTCGTCACGTACTCCTGCAGGGAACTGAAGAAGCTCATTTTTGCTCGTTAATGCGATGTTTCGCTCGTCGTTTTCTGCGTGAGTGCTGATACTGATTTTTCAAGCGACCAAACGTGTCATCGTCGTTTCCACTTCGAATTCTTTCTCGGCTCGCTCTTAGGGACCGAAATGTCGCGATGCGCCTCGAAATCTACAGGCATCGATCTCGCAGGAGGTCGACTAGATACCACTCGTCGGCTGACTCATCGCGAAGGAAGATCCTCCGACCTCGGAAACTTTTACGGTACTTCGTCGCGTCGCAATATCGATTCTCGGCTACGGCCATTTGTGACTTTTTTCAGATCCCTTTCGCGATTCTCCCGAGAGATTTCCACTTGCCGCAGGAGTCATCGTACTTTGCCGAGTACTTAAGATATTGCACAGCCCCGACGTTTCGGCTCGCGCCGATGGCTCGAGGCAATCATCTGTGAAAAAAAAATTAAAGAGATAAAATTAGACGGGCAATGTAACACAATAAAACTGACACGTGCTAAAATTAAATAAATATGATGAAACAATTTGGCGTATAAAAATATTATCTTTCGGAGAATTTCACATGATCATCCGTAATTTCACATAAAATCATCCGGCTTTTAATATAATGCAAATAAGGAAGCTAGAAATAGAAGTTCATTACCCAGATTTTAACTTGAGCGAAGAAAGCTATCGCGTTGCCAACTTGCTAAAATGTTACGCGAACACATTAAGGGCATCCCAACTTTCTAACGTAAAACTTTCTAACTTTTCAAAAACTGTTCGGTAACTATATTTAAACACGTATCCTATGCAAAGATTAGCGATCGATTGCCAACCATATTTAATGTTATCCTAGAAAGTTTTTAAGAATATACACGGAAAAAATTGTTGTGAATGTTACAACAATATTCTCTATGTTTGGAAAAGAAATGCATGTGAATTTAAGTTATATTGATGTTACATGGCATTCATCTGTTAAGGTATGCTCATCAGTATGGTTGTCACAACCGTAGTGCTTAGGATAAATAATAT